GACTGGTCGCCTCCGGCTGCGGGGTGGTTCCAGGCTCAGTGCGCAGCACTTTATTTGATGTGCTGCGGTGGTGCGGGGAGCGCTGCCCGAGTTTCTTGCAGTGATGGGTAGCGGGGCCCATTATTTGACGGAGGTCTGAATGTATTGGAAGCTGCACACGGGTACCGGAGACATTTGTCTCTGCTTTAGATCTGTTCCAGCCTAGGTGATGGCCAGGGAAGTGAAGTTTTTGGTTTTTTCGATCCTGGGAATGTTACCAGCTGGTAGTATCAAAAGCTGCGATTTATAGCTATGGCATACTTACATACTTCCATCATTTACAATGACAGTGTATCACTCACTAGAATACAGTCACCAGGCAGAAATGTAGGTGACCAGGGGACAGTTTCAAAACTCATGTGTCTTGTCTGGTCTGGAAGATTTTGTGTGTGTTTGAGATGGGGAGGAGCAAAGAATACAACAAGATTAGCAAGCTTTGTAAGTGCAAGTGTACGTAAATGCAATGCTGCTTGATTCCCCCCCCCCATATCTTTGTGCCCCAGGATGTGGTTGTCAGTAAAGTTGTTATTTGCTGACATGTGTTTCATCAGATGCCACTTTCCAGGATTGTAGTGAAAATACTGTAGCTGTATGTCAAGTCGTAATTAAACCTTAATCCACTTCAGGTGCCTTAAAATATATTGTCTAAGTGAGCTGGCTGAAGCAGAAGGCAGGTAGGTTGCTGTTGAAGGCTTTAGTCCCTAGCTGATACTGTGCCCTTGCTAAGTCCTTCTCTTTCAGTTTGTTTTTATGACTTTCTGTCACCATTGTATTGGAACCTTTTGTTTGCTCCCTAAATAGACAGGTTGAGATGACACAAGTGGAGAACCAAGTTATCTTGTTTATACAGCGCTTGGGTAGGAAAGCTGGCCTTGTGATTAGGACCTGTATTCAGGAGGGAGATTCAATTTTCATCTTCTTTATAGGTTTCCAGCTTCAACCACCTTCAGAAATGACACTCAAAGAGCGGGTGTTCCATGCTTTCTGGAAGGTGCACTTGTCTTAAGGTGGATTTTTGTTAGGTATTGAAAAGGAAACAAAAGAAAGAAAGAAAAGTAAAAAAAAAAAAATAAAATCACCAGCCATTGGTCTGTCCTTCCTTTCCCCAGCTCTTAAGAAAATCCTTTTGTCATGTCTTCTTTTGATAATTCCCACCTTAAGAATACATCCTGCTTAAATATTTGTCCAGTGCTCTAACCTGGATTTCTTTTGAGACCTTAATTTGTCATTTGTATTACAAATAATACCCCACAAAAGTATCAAGTTTTGTAAGAATTTCAGGAGTCTCTTTCCTGCAGGAGTGGTTTCTTGTGGTAGGAAGGAAGGATGATAAACTGGTTCCTTCCATTATTTGAGTTACTGCATCCTTCCCTCCCTGGAAGTGTTCTGTGTTCTCTTCCGGTGCTAAAATGCAGGCAGGGCGAGATACTAAATGAATAATATTTAACAGGACAGGGGGAAACCATCTGTAGTCCTTGGGGTACGTGATGAAGTTATACCAAGGAAATAAGAAACTAGAAAAACATGTGAGGTTAACATGACTTTAAATGAACAGCTGCGTTTATGTTGTGTTTACATTGTACTTGCCTATACAGTCTTGATGTAAGAAACAAAAATAGGCATTAATGCTTCATTCTGTAGAATGGAGCTGTCAGAGTAAGTCTTGAAAGGAGCCACTTAAAACTAACACAAGCAGTTTGTTTCATCCTGGGCTTACAAGTGTTAAGACTATGAGTTTCCTTCTTAGGATGACTCCTTGGAGCATCTCCACCCTACCCCTAGTATTGACATGGCCAGTACTCAGTATTAGGATCTCTTGAACCCTGCCAGACACGCCCCCCAGCATCATCTGTTCAAGCCTAGCTCTCCCAAGAGCTGCAAAGAGGTGGAGAATGCTTTTGAAGGTTAGAGAGATTAGTTTGCTAATTTCTGAAACCCCACTGTTAAGCACTTAAAAATATATGTATTGAAATAATTGAAAACAGGCAAGCTTTCTTGAGTTTTCACAGGATGGGCAAAAAGAAATTAGGTAAAGTGAAGGCAAAGTGTCAGATTTATTTCTCCAGAACAGATAAGTGTAAGAACTGAAATAAAAGGACATGAGTGTAGGTGTGGGGTTTTTTAATGTATTTTAATTTAATTTTTATATTTATTTAAGCAAGGTAAATCCAAGGTGGGCTGGGCAAAATTCCATTAAAATATGACTTTTAGAAAAGCAGCCCGAGGCAGACAACTAACAGGGAAGACATCATTATGAAAAGGAGTAAAGAAGGAGAATAGGTTGTGCTGTTAGTCTTAGCAGTTATGCAGTGAGTAGGTATCTCAATCAGTACTTACTATGTAGTGGTCTTTAGAGAACTGAAGTTGTTGTAAGTGCAGTGGGCCTGTTGTTCAGGGTGTGTAGTAATGTCTCATGTACTAACAAGTGAAATCAGGCCCCGGTGTCTTTCATACTGTGTTTTTAGAACGGGCTGTTCCACAATGGATGGGGGAGATGGTACTGCTGACCTTGTGATTAACAAGAGGTTTGTGTCTGAATCGGAGCTAGAGGAACGACGAAAGAGAAGGCAAGAGGAATGGGAAAAGGTCCGAAAACCTGAGGATCCAGAAGGTATGGGTTAGATTTTAATAATTACAGGAAAGAGGTCTGAGAATATTTCACTTTTGTGGAAGACAGAAATAAAAGGTAATAGCTTGTATTCTACAACTTCAAAAGGTTTTTACATAAAGAAACTAAGAACTGTTGGTGATTTAGTATTTCTAACATATGGTCTAATTTTCTGATTTATTTCTTCCTTACAGAATGCCCAGAGGAGGCATATGACCCACGTTCGTTGTATGAAAGACTTCAGGAACAGAGAGAAAAGAAGCAGCAGGAGTTTGAGGAGCAATTTAAATTCAGTAAGCACCAGCAGTTACTATTTTGAACCGAAACCCAGCAAACTGCATGTATTGTGTGCAACAGCTGCATACAACATCTGGCTAAGGGACATATCTCTGTGTCTTGTCTGCCTCTCTGAGAGATAAACAGAGGCTTCGGAAAAGTATTGCTGAAATCTTGTATTTTTCAAGGATGGTGGATGTTCCTGCAGATAACATATTGTTCTGGGCACTGAGACAGCAGTGCACATGTGAAACTCAAAAGTTGCTTGCAGTTAAGAAGCTGCATTCCTGTGAGGTGTGGAATACTAGGCTTATTTTGCACATTAAATCAAAAAAAGCCCTGATACTAATCCATGGAAAAGTGGAAATGTAATGTGATTTTGTGACTCTTGAACTCATGCTTTAACACAAGGCTATCCTATTTGAGCCAATAAAAAGAAATCCTGTTCCAGCAGCTGCTACATTTCCAAGCTGTAATTAATTGATGCAAAAGTGATTTGAGGCTCGAGATTACTACTTGGAAGAAGTAGACATACAGGAGTTGATTCAAAAAGTAGGTATTTAACTCTTCTAATGAAATGGAAACCTAATTTCTACTGATGTTTGAATTTCTGGTTTTATAGAAAAATCCTTTGCATTGTATCACCTGTATATGTGCTGCTGAGTGTAAAGATGATAGTGAGAACTAGAAAATTATTAGTCAACCATTTTGGGAAAAAGGGAGCTATTGGCTCTATCAAAAGAGAAGTGAGGATGATACTGTGGGACTCCATTTTAAGGTGGGTTCTAATCGATTTTGGTTCTTTAGCTGGAAGCCTTACCCTCAAAATATTGTGTTCTTTAAGCTCCACTTTACCTAACTGGATTCTGTCTAGAATTTTTCTTGTATTTGCGATGCAACAAAACTATGTTTTACTTTTAACTATGGCACAATCTTTTGAGTTCTGTTAGATAATACTCCCTGCCCCTGCAGATGCTATTGAGTGCATTATTGATTACCATGATTGCCTTTCTTGTTTTGTAGTACATGCTTTTAGAATTGTTCCTGTAGCCAAATTTCTTTGGGAGAAGTAAGTGGGAGGAACTGAATAACGACAGATCAGTGTTGGGTGGACTGTAGGCCACTAGTTTACCTCATCAGAGTTAGCCCAGTTTGGCCACTTGTAACAAGATTTGTCCCCCAATATGCTTGAATTTGCCTTAATGTTCATAAGTATTTTTTCTATCTGTGGGAATTCTGGAGGAGTAGAAAATGAGTTTGGTGTACTGTCATTCTGATCAGTCAGAATTGATGATGGGACTTGGGAGGAGAAACACCTTTATGCTGAAGAATTGTGTTTGCATAAACACACAAACTTAGTTACTCTAAAACTTTTGTGTAGATAAAAAATAGTATACAGACTAGCAGTTCTTTCTGCTAGGTTTTCAGCTTTGCAAGAATGTCTTCCTTTTCAAAGTAAAATAATTTTAGTAGAGTCTTACAGCACTTTAAATGAAAAATAATACTAGTATCCTCTAAAATACAACTTTAAAGGTTTTTTTTTCTGAATTATGGTAATCAAAATAAGGATAAGTGGAATTTATTCCCTGTTTCTGAAGTTTTACTTGTATTTTTAGTGGTGAAAAGTGGATAGTACAGATAGCAGCATTAATGCATTAAAGTCTCCAGCTGTACCTACAAGATTCTTTCCAGCTGGAGAGTTCCAGTTTACTTCAGGAAACTTTTCATCCAAGTCATCTTTGGTGATGTGACTAAGCAATTCTTGTCCACATAGCCACCAGAAAACTGACTGCTGTCAACCTAGATAGGAAAGGCTTCCAATAACTGTCTAAATTAATTGTTTCCCTTGCCAAGTTATATTAGATCTGCAATGTCTTCCCTTTGGTTCAGGCAGGAAACCTGTAAACGAAGTACTGGAATGAGAAGCATCCCTGAGAGGGGGTAACTGAGGAGTAACCCAGCTGCTGCTTTTAAGGCAACCCTTGTGGAATAACAGATACCTGTTAACCAGGAGAACAAAACCTGCTGCAGACTGTTTAGTAGGGAATCTCAGTAAGGTCAGCCATAAGGATCTCTATGGTTGCTTCTTAGTTTGCAGATCAGGCAGGCAGAGAATGAAATTAATTCATGTCACTTGCTTCAAAAAATGTCCAGAGTTTCACTACTCCTGCTGTCTGTTCGAAGGGGCCCTGAGCAGTAGAAGTGAATGCTAGAAGTTACGGTTTACGGTTTAAAGATTTATGAATGAGCTCTGCATTCTTAAAGTTGGAAAGAGTAGGGATCAGCCTTTAAAAAGTGACCTCAAATAATAGTTGATTTCTAGAGCTTTTCTGTCAAAGACTGAAGCTTGCCAATTATCACTGTAAATGGATTTCTTAGCTTGTCATTAAAGTGAGTAAGACTTGACTATGTGGGTGAAGATGAAAAAATAATATGGCGACCTCACGTAAAAGCCTAAAAATCCTCTTATGGAATTAAACTCTAATGAAGACTAAAGGTGATGTTTGGGTTAAGATTTCAGAGGATGACTACAAACAGCAAGACTTGGTCTTTCTAAAAAATATTTTTTATTACCTTTCTAACGAAATCATTTGATTGAGAGACATTGAACATTTGCAGAACAGAAAATAAAAGACCTTCCTACTCTACTAGTGTGTACTTTCCTTAAAGTAGGGTAGCATGTTTGGAAGGTATTTTTATTTGGAAGTTAGGAATCGTCTTGCTTCTACATTTTGTTTTTTTTAAACAGCTGTTAATCTCAGTTAAGTTGCTCATTGTTTGCTTTAAGAAAATGTACTTCCTATTTTGAGGCAAGATTTATGAGAAGTAATGTGTTTTTTTTCCAGTTATTGGTTGGTTTAAGAACAGATTCTGAGGAGACAGGCTTGAACTTGGTGTCTGAAACCAACACAATAAATATATCATTGCTTAGTGTGGTCATTCCTTGTTCTGTGTAACCTGTTCCCAATGGCATTTCAAAACTGCAGAAAGGCTGCTTGTGTGAAAACTTGGTCAATTTTCCTTAATTATATCAGCAAGTCCAATAGCATTTCATGGCTTCCTAATAAATTGTGTCTTTCTGTGTAGTAAGTGTTGTGTTCAAACTGTGTTAGTTTGTTGTCGTTTGTGTGCTTGAGTGTGTAAGAGTTTCGGCTTGTTAGCATCCAGTATCATTAACCAGGAAGTATTTTTAGTCCTTAATTACAGAATCCAGCAGATATTTTGTGGAGTTTGCTTTGTACCCTTTTCTCGGCACAACAGCATGACCACTGGAGTACCCACTTCACTCAGTCACACAGGACTCTACTCCCCGTGTTCCCAGTGACTTTGTGCAAATTGTTCTACCTTGGCAGTATTAGAAATGTCATATGTAAGATGTGGATACTTACCTACATTTATGGGGCAGTTTGAAGTCATCGGAAAATGTTCTAAGAGAGTGGCAAAGTAACGCAAAATAAATGGCTGCTCCCTAGGTGGTTTTAGTTTAACAATATGCATTCTTTTCCTTTATTCAGAAAATATGGTAAGAGGCTTAGATGAAGATGAGACGCATTTCCTTGATGAGGTTTCTCGGCAGCAAGAGCTACTAGAAAAGCAACGAAGAGAAGAAGAGCTGAAAGAACTAAATGAATACAGAATATCCTTTGCATTAAAATGGCTGGCAGTTATATAGAGGAGTATAAGACTGGGCTATAGTTTTATTCTGTCATTGACATTCTTTCTACAGAACTGCTTTACAGAACATATACAATGATAGACTTTTAAAGTTTAATGTTCTCATTGTAGCTTGGTTCTCCCACTGTAATGTTTAATATTCCCCTCCCCCAACACCCGCATGTCTTCGGTACTTTTCTTCTCCGCCTCCTCATTGTTCGGGGTTTGGGTTTTTTTTTTCCTGTTATTAAGGGCATGAAATACCATAGCTAAAAAGAGAAAGAGAACGTAAAGGAAAAATAGCCTATTATTTCTAATCTTTTGCTTTTGTCTTCTTACTGAAAAGTAAATGTTCTTGTTTGGGTTTTTTTTAACTGCATATTGGCTGGTTTTAACATATCTGTTTGAAATAATGTTTGAATTGTTCTCTCTGTTATTCTTGAAGTATTAGCTACTTTCTCCCTTGCTGATAACTACAGGATCTGAGATTAAATACATCTGTGCAGATGCACTAACTTTCTTCTGGGAAGTCAGTGCCCATGGAGACTCGGGTCCTTTGGGTAATACAGACTTTTAGCCAGTACTAAGAGCAGGACACTTTGGCTTTGCTATTAAGTGCCAAATTTTCATGAAGATGTGCTGGAAAATAATATAGCATGCTTTTTCTCTCTAATCAGTGCTAGTCAAGGGAGGTTGGAATGATTTGAGAATTTCTGTGCCAAACTAAATGTTGGTTTTTCTGAGGTTTACTGAATCTCTGCAGAACCCGATGGTTTCTTTGCCTCCTAATGAAAACCATTGCTTTTAAGTCATCAGTGAACAAAGCACAAGTTCTCAAGGATGCTTTAGTATAAATGAGTTTGTGGACACAAGGAGGTGACCAAAACCAGTCAGCAAATAAAGCTGAATAGTGCCAATGCTACAAAGATCTGCATTACCTTGTATTAGTTAATGATTTACAACTCGGAGCGTGTGTTCTGTGAAGAGCATCTAAGTTATCTCAGTAATGTGTTTATGAAAAAGCAATACTGATGCCTTTTTTTGGGTGGTTTTTTTTTTTTTTACTTCAGAAATAGGCTGTAGTTGGTTGATGGATTTGGAATATTTTCTTGATTTGTTGGATCTAATGGGATGTTCATGGGATATATTTAGTTTTGGTGATGGTTGCTTGTGGGTCTGGCTGATGCAGGGATGTGCAGTATAAGACTCTGCTGTGGAAGCAGCTGACAGCTCTAATTAGGTCACACATGTCTGGGGTGAACCATGCCAGCCCAGAGGGAATCTTATGTTGTCTTGAATTAGCCACATAGCACGCTGATCCCTGAATTTACTGAGCAGGACCTGTTCAAGATGTACAGACCATCTAACCTCAGTCTCTGCAGTCTTAATAATATCGTCTGGCTCTGTATCTGAAGTCCTGCTGTAAATTAAACTGTAGAACTTATTGCTGATGGGGTGCAGGGAGGGAGAATGTTTTATAGTCACCTCATCTGAGAGAAGTTTTGCCCATTCCATTTCCTTTTTTTTTTTTTTTTTATTTAACCATAGTATTTCAAGCAACCTCAGAGCAACTTGCAAAACAACTCATCTGTGTTTGAAATTTTTGGTGGTATTCTTTTAAAATGCAAAAGGTGTTTTTGCATCTGCAGGTTGTTACTAATGGCTTATCACTACAGTAACAAAACCCAGAGGGTACTAGGTAAACATGCTGGATCTATAGGTACTGTTCAAGTGCTCTTCCAAACTAGTAAGAGGAATGTCAACCCAGTGGGTTTGATTATTTGGTCTTTTTCCTGGTGTAACATCCAATTTAAGCTACCCAGAGGCATTAATTTAATGGTAAAACCTACATCCGTATTCAAGTACAGAGCTTTTTTCTTTTTTTCTTCATTTTTTAGGTTGAACAATCATGAAATCCTATATCTTAAGGATAAACATGCCTTGGAATATTTTAATATGCTCTTGAGCATAAGAAATTCATATGCATGGACACATAGGAATTCTGCTTCCTCATACATGAAGAACTAGGGTTTTTTTGCTCATTACCCTATCCAGATGCCACTGGTCTTGACAGTGTGATTTACAGATTTTTTTTTTATAAAGCCAGTTCCAAGAAGTGTTCCAGAACCCTCTTGTCTTAAATCCTATGTAAATGTAGGAAAAAGAAGCAGGTTTTACTGTAGAACAGCTTTTTAAATGCAGTTGATATTTAAGATTGAGAGGTTTATTTCTAATATAGTCTTCCTGAGAGGGGACGCTTCTTGGCTAACTATAGTGTTACATTTGCTAATGGCACCAGTACATATATAATCTCTCAAAAATGTGCTGTGTCTCTGGTAGTTGAGGATTGTTAGGAGTATGGCATCCTGGATGGAAGTGAAAAGCCTGTAATTTGGCATCTTTTAAAAGAAAAGTCTTTGGGTTCCTCAGCCAGGCTTTTGTAGTGCAGTATTAGAATATAACAAATAAATATGGAAGTTGAACTCTGCAGTGTGTGGAATCATGTGTTGCAACATCAAACCATGTTCAATGCAATAAGCTTTCAGATTGCTTCTGGTAGCCACAGGATGGCACTCCGGTGCCATCTTAAAAAATAAATAAAATTAGAACAGTCTGGTTTTGACTAAGACTTTCAACTGAGGTAGGTAGCAGTCTGGGTTACTGCTGTATCCTTAGGAGAAATCAAATAGGGAATGGCATCTGAACACTCCTAACTGTAAAGTGACTGGAGACTTTGTGTGTGTCACTTCAAAGGAAGGTGTGAGAGTTTTTTATATGTAGATGTTCAGTGGGGAAAAAAACCTATGACTTCAAATATATGGTCCATCAATGTGAAATTCACTATCTAATATTTGTCTGCAATAACTGGGGCACCTGTGAAACTCTAGCTTGTGGTTGTGTCACCTGATCAGTGGAATTGTAGTTAGAAAAGAAGCCGCTAAAAAGCTAGGTTTAAGGTTATAAACAAGTACCCTTTTAAATAGCTTGATTTGTCTATGCTGTGTGCAGTTTAAGTTTTGTGGAAGATTTTGTGACTCCACTGGCACCTCATTAACAAACCAGGATCTTTGATGGACCTCACTTCATCAGATACAGCTGGACATTAACTGTTATCAGGGACTGGACTAGACCCTGCCACAGAAGGAGATCTGTTTAGTGAGTGTGCCTTGATAGCAGACCAAGGTCCTTCTTACTCTGTCTGAGAACCTGCTTAAGCTTCTCCACCTCATTACAGGTTTCAGCTGCACCCCACCTTGCTCACACCGTTTTAAGCTACTTAGTTTTTCTCTGCAGTCACAGACTTTTTGGGTGAATATTGGACCACATGCACCCTTAGTCAGATCTGTCTCCTTCCGCTTGGGGTTGGTGTTCAAACCAGCAGTAATAGCCTTGTGGTCCTTACAAAGAGATGAGCTGAAAAGTTAAGAGTGATAAATGCCAAAACAGAAAATTGAACTGTTTTGCTTTCGTAGGCTGAAGTGTGCTGGGCTCAGCAAAAGGAGGGTTTGAGGAGTGGAAGTAAGCCCACATGTTGCTACTTAGGTTTTTTAGTAAGGATAAGGGGTTGAAGCAGCAAATTTGAATTACAAATGTGTTGATCCCTGTAGAAGGGGGAAGTACTGCATTGCCTTTCCCTGCCCCATCTGACCTTTTTGCTTTTCTAAGACCTTCAGGAAAAGGCAGGATGATAGATATGTTTATGGGTGCTGGATGTGTTGTGTGTTGTGCCTTTCTGACTTCAGAAAAGCAGCTCCTAGTCTGCTGCCTTGATGTCTTCACAGGGAGAGCTGGTATTGATACCTGAGAAAGTTCTGAACCCAGAGGGTGAAGTCTCTTCTGTCTTGGCCAAAGGTGCTGGCTAAATGTCATTACAAATAAGTTTATTATGAAAGAATATGTGAATGAACTTCGGTTGCTGCTGTCAGCAGAGCTGGCTAAATATATGGGAGAGGAAGTGTCTGTTCTCTCCATTCCTTCCCGGTTGATCCTTAACCCTTAATTCACAGCACTCTCACCAAAGTGGGAGTCAGTATGGACCCAAAGAAGGAAACTGAGAAGAAATTGCCCATGAAGTCAGTGGAAAACAAGAACAAATTCTCTCAGGCAAAGCTGTTGGCAGGAGCTGTGAAACACAGAAGGTTAGTTTTACACCTTATAAATTCATAAGGAACGGAACCCAGTTAGCAGTGTAAAGGGAGGCAGGCCAAAGCTGCCTCCAGAGAGCGAGGTGTGAACCTTAGCCCTAAAGAAGAAAGGGGGGAGGTATAAGAAAAGACTAGCCTTGTTTCTATAGGCTCTTGCAGCCTGTGGGAAAAACATGAAGCAATTCAAATAGATAAGTGTATGTAAAGCAAGTGGGTAGACTCTTCATTCTAGACTGCCAGGCTTGAGCAACCCTGCTTGGGGATCTAGAGGGAATCTATTTTAGATCTCTATTTTTAGATATCAGTGTCATCTCACTCATGTAATTTCATTCAGGTTTGCATAATTTATCAGCTGATTTTTATCTGTGTCTAAAATGGATTGTTTTGATTGCTACTGGGCGCAGCATGGGGGAGACATAGGTTATGAGAGAAGAGCTCTGTACCAATTTGATCCTGAGGGCATGAGGCAAACTTCCCTTGTTCCTCATTGATTTGCACTGATACATCAACACCTTTTCCATCCCAGACAGATCTAGCTGGGTTTGTGATCTTTTTGCTGTTTTGATCTTGGCCTGCAAATGCAGCTGCTGGTGTGCTACAAGTTATGGAGAAACTAGGCATGTGGGACCAGCCTTATTTCTCACAGATGGGTCGTCTAATACTAACGATGATTACTGACATCTACAAATTCAGTCAGTGTTTTTGAATCTGTCCCAGAGAATCAGAGATTGTTTTAGAAGTGTATCTTGTAGGGTGATGTTTACCTCCCAGTACAGCAGTAATTGGATGTCTGGAAACTGAAGTAAGCACTTCCACCACCTAATGTAGGGGGGGTTGGGTAGTTGGGTTTTTGGAGGGCAGAGAAGAGAAACCTTGAACTGATAACAAGCAGCCAATAATGGTTTTCTTTCTTTTAACGTAATGTTTTTTTTTTTCTTGTACTTAACCCAGGAGGATGTAGAGAAGGAGCTGGCATGTACTTAATGGCAGATCTAAAGTCTGCAGATGGCATCTATTTGAAGAGAGCATCTTAACTGGCATGCTTTGCAGTCTTCTATTTTTGCTGCCTTATCTTTTATTGCAAACTGGTCAAAACTAAGTTCAACATCTGCTCTCTGAGCTTTGTAGTTTCCTGAAAGGATGTATTACTGTTAAAACCTCCCTGTACAGAATAATTTTTCATCTGTACTGCATGTTCTGACAGGGACAGAAAAGAGTTAATGCATAAAAATGCTCATACTTCCATCACTTTCACAGCTGAAGCTGGGAAGCATTTATTTATGTGGATGGCTTAGGACTGGGTACATGCAAGAGGGGGGAAAAGAAACTAAGCAGTGACAAGGAAGAGCTGTGGAAGTTCTGAAGAGTCAGAAGTCCAAGTAATGCTCCTTTCCCCCAACACAACTTTAGACCCAAAAAGGACCCCTTTCTTTTTTAGTTCAGACACTGTAGCTGTGTGTGAATTGCTGTAAAACCTGCTGAGCTTCTTACTGGGTGCAAGATTTCTAGATGTTTTAGAACAGGCTCTCTGGGTGCTTGAAAGAGGGGCAGGAAACCATGGAAGAGGAAAGACACCAATGTTGCACCATCAAGCATGGTAATCATCCACATGTGCAAGCCTGTGATCATGTGGGGTGGCTGAAGCTCAGGTAGTCATTCCTGATCTCCTGTGGGGTACTTCGAGCTGAATAGGCAGCTCAGTGTTACCGTGTAAGAGGTCTGACTTGGATCCCAGAGGTGTGTTTCTGTTTCTGAGGTTAACAGGTGATACTTGCAGTGTAGGTGTTGACTCTTTTTAGGATCCTGCATGTTCCCTGAGGAGCCCCAGTTAACAGCAGTTACAAGTGGTGATGGCCATCAGAGGACCCTTCTGGCATTTGCTGTAGCATTTGAGGCAAAGATGTGACTTAACTTCACAGTAATTAAGTGTTTGCTTATGAGGAACAAGGTACTTTCTTGTTTTTTCCACAGTTCAGATGGTGGTAACAGTGTGAAGAGGTTGAAACTAGATACTGATCATGATGAAAAGAGTCAAGGTATGTCTTGATTTCTGCATGTGGGAAGCTGTCTGTCTCTCACCTGAACAGCAAGTGACTTGGTGTTAAATCTGATAGAAGATTTGCTTTTCTGTTCCTTCATTATGCAAGGCAGCACAGACTGGGGTTGGCATGTTCTCTCTTAAAGCAGTAGAAATGGTAACTATAGGTGCTGATAGACTGCATAGAAAATAGAGCTGGAGGGAACCTCTACAGGTCATCAGTCCTGCGTAAACCACTCCTGATAACTGATAGGAGTCTCCGTAGCTGCATTTCGAGCCTAGTGCTTGTCCTGTCAACAGGAGACAGGGAGAACAGATCATCCTTTTCCTCTTCACAGCAGCATTTGATGTATTTGTATACCTCCACTATTAGGTATTCATGCTGTGAAGTAATCTTGTCCATCCTGAAGCCAATTTGTTTCAGAAAATTATCGGGAACTAGAAGAAGAATTAAGTTGCATTTCAGTCCTAGCTGTCAGGGCTGCAATTGATTTGCTGTCAAGATACTCTGACACAAACAGGGTGAGCTGCAGTTGTATAATGACAATCCAAGGCGCTTCCTGAATCTCTGTTCAGTAAATTTTCAGAGCACTAGGAATAATTACTTAGCCATGGAAGATGGGAGACCTTGACTAGCAGAGTGATGGAATAAAACTTTTCCCTAACTATGCTGTTATATCACAAAAAAATACTCAATTACACAAAGTAGAGCTATTTATTCTTATTTAGTGGGTTTGGTATTTGACAAGCATCAAACTGACAACTTTAGAATAAAAATCCGTTATGCCAGCACAGAGCTGGGCTTAAACTAGTGATGAGGAAAAAAAAAAAAAAATCCCTGAGGTAGCAAGTCCTTCCTGTCAGAATAGCTTTATTGCTGCATAAAGCTGCCTTATGCTTTAATTAAATCCTGCAATCATCCACCGCTAATGTGGCAATAGCAGGTGAATGACATGTGGCAGTTCCTGGGCTGATTAAAAGCCCTTTCCTGTGCTGTCATTTTTGACTGAGGTACCTCTCTTTCAGAAAAACCATCCTGTGTTCCCTTGGGGAGCAGCTCGGTGGGAGGCTCCACGGTCCACTGTCCCTCAGCAGCTGTGTGCATTGGGATCCTGCCTGGCCTGGGTGCCTACTCGGGAAGCAGTGATTCGGAGTCCAGCTCGGATAGTGAAGGCACTATTAATTCCACTGGAAAGATCGTCTCTTCTGTCTTTCGTAGCAACAGTTTCTTTGATGGTCCATAACAAAATCCCTCCATGTGTAATGTAGTGCAGAGTATCTTCCAAAGCCCTTATGGATGTTTGATGCATCCTTCTGCCCCAAATATAATCTTTCTAGCTAACCTCTCAACTTTAATATGCTCAGATACTCCTAAAATAACTCATTATATCTCCCCCCCCCCCCATTTCTGGGGTGCATACTGAGCCTGGAAGAAAGGCTGCCATCCTAAACAAGAAGGCACACCTATTAACGTAATGAAGGTCTGAGGGTAGTAGGGGGGAGAGCGCTTTATCTTTTAAAATTCTTACAGAAAGAATGAATTTTGGTCATCTAAGAAGTTTATACAAGACTAACAGGCAAAAAATACTCACTTGAAGCAGTGAAGTCTTGTAGACACAGCCATGTGTTCTGTTTTAAAATGTCATTTTTATTCTGTATTTGAGAAATGGGGGCAGAACAGAAATCAAGCAGATGGTGAAGTGTAGATTGCCATGACACTGTAAAGAAGTTTTAGTGTTACATGATTAAAGACATTCTGAATGCATTGTTTTTTTTATCTTGGCTTGTGCCATTCATAATTGTTCCTATTCCATTAAGTAATTTCTGCTCTACTCAACCAGCCCCTTCCTCAAACTGCCATCCAGAAGCGCAAGTCAGCCTCCTACAAATGCAGAGATGGTGATGGAAAACTCTTGTTGTGAGTGAGTTCAGAGGAGCTGCAGCTGGCCGTTCTGCTCAAAGGCCATTTCTCCCACACTGGTGCGTTTGGTAGGTCATTCAGCTTTTCTGCAGCAATGTCCTGAAGAGCATGAATCCGGAGCACATGGGATACCCTGGTTCAGCCAAACTTCTTTGTGCAGAAGCTGGAGAACTCCACCATCTTTTGCAGTGGTTTTTGAAGTTGTGTTGGATTTAAGAAACCTTACAGGAGCACACTTATGGGTGTTGTGGACCAGGGAGCCAGGCATGAGCAAGAAGCAGGCTGTGAAAGCTCAGGGCCCTTCCTTTTCATCTGTGTGCAAACAGTGCTAATGGCAGGTCAGTGGGTTGGAACAGCTCAGCTTGACCGCTCAGAGGTGGAAATGTCTTTGACAGTCTCCCTCACAGCAGTCCTGCTCTACGTACTACACTCTGAAGTGTACGCACTTCTGAGAAAACAGCTGATACGTGCATGCCAAAGGGCAGTTATCTGAATATGAGGCTAAACAACTTGGAAGAGAGCAGTTGGGATAAAAGCAGTGAAACCTGAAGGCCTTTAGTAGGATTTATGCCTCAGCTTGGGTGTTGAACTTTCCCAAAGGAAATAAGGAGAGTTATGCTCACGCTGAGGCTATCCTTAGCCAAATACCCTTTCTGTTTGCACAACCCTGTTCCACAATCAGATCCTTACAAACACCGTAATTCCTCCCCTGTTCTTCTGGGTTGCCTGGCACCTCTTGTGTTTGCTCCAGAGTTGCTTCTGCCTCTTCTCTAGCTACTCCAATTATGGTGCTTTCAGGTGGAAAACAGATGTCTTGCTGCCTCCCTAATGCTTTACTTTTGATGACTTTCATTGTACTTAGCTATGGAGTGAAAGGGAAGTGGTGCACAAAAAATGCCTGTTTTTCTTGAGAGTTCCATTTGTAAGAGCCATGAGCAGTTGGAATGAGAGATGTAGGTGTCCATCCTTGGCATTAGGCTAGATCAGTAATCTCTCTATAGAGTCAGAACAGCCTGGCCTGGCTGTGAGCACACTGGAACCATTTTCCTGAGTGATATTTTGCACAACTGCAGTCAAAATGGCTGATTTAGACAGAAATTTATAGTGGGATTTGGCAGCCAATTGTGGGCAGATGTGGTGGTGGTGGTGGTGGTCCATGGGGGCTGCAAGTGAGACCAGGACAGGGTGCTGGTGGTTATGTTGGACCCTGCGTGGCAAGGAGGAGACATAATTCGGTAAAAGCAGGCATGAGCCGTTCTGGAAACAGCAGCTGTGGCAGTAACCTTGCCCTGGGGCTGACATGCTGGAAAAGAATGGCTGGCTCCAGCAACTCTGTCATTCAGTGGTGGATTTAGATTTTGTTTGTTTGTTTGGGTTTTCTTAAGACTGTTCTCTCTTTGCCATGACTGCATAGTGTATGCTTCATCCCCTCCCCAGGGACAGCTTCATAAACTTGTTCTCTGTGCTAGTTGTTAAAGCTTCAGAGAGGTGTTAAAAAAAATGACAAACCCCCACAAACACTCTACTAGGAGAAGAGCTTACTAGCTAGTGCAGCTGCATGTGAGGTTGGTTCTCTTATGGAAAAAAAAAAAAATTTCCAGAGCCACAAACTTTGATCTGGAAGCAGAGCTGTATAGAGCATTATTTTCAAATGAGCCACCCTTCAAAGGCTGCTTCTCCATTTGGAAAAGGGTGGTGTTGGTTGGTTTTTTTCCTTTCCAGGGGGCTTTGCAAGGCAAATGTTTCACGGAGCAGTCCCACCTCTCCCAAGGGATGGGGCTGGGGCCTCACCCAGCGCTGTGCTTGGAGCTGACTTGGGTCCTTGCCATCAGCTTCGGCTCTATGCTTTGGCCGAGCCGTGGGACTGTGCGGGGCAGCCTGCATACTAGTGACTTGGTAGCAGCAGTGACAACCACGCATTTGCTAGTGGTGGTCGGTGGCAATGAGCACAGCCAGTAGCACACGCATGAGCGAACTGGCTCTAGACCAGTAGAGGCACCAACCTCCCACCACAAGTGCTTTCACTACTGGGGAGAATGGAGGTCAAGTCTACTTGAGTTTGGAGTAAGGCTGGTGAGCCCTGCAGTATATTCAACTTTCTACCTGCCAGCTTCAAAATGCCTTAATCTAATTAACAACAGAAGAAAGCAGCAATTAGCACTGAAGATAGCACGTTGTTGATGAGCGGCTCAAAGGAGTTGCTGGAGAGCAGGATTTCATTACCTAGCCCATCTCTGCCCAGGCAGCAGGGAGCTTTTTTTACTCAGTCTTGGAACAATTTCTAGAGATGAAGCAGCAGTGAACCATGAAACTCCCTTTGCCAGTTTGTTGTGGGTTCACTGGTGTTTTCCCAAGCATGCATGTCCATGTGCGCACACCAGCCCCCTGCCCTTGGCTCGGGCAGACACTGAGAGCTGATGCGGGAGAGTGAGGAGATGCTGCCCTCCCCTGGATATCCATATTTACCTCCACCTTCAGTAAATCACCCTCTGGCATGCTGCTGTTGATGGTCTGAGGCTGATCCCAGGGCACAGTGAGCAGAAATGCTGAGTGTAGGGTGAGTGGTTGGGGGACTCAAACACTCAGCACTGCTGACCATGCTCCCAGACCTTCCCATCTAGGAGACCCTTGTTTTAAATGTCCAAGTTTCTTTATTAACCTGAGTATAACAAATATAACATGTAAACAGTATAAAAATGAACATAGAGTATGACAGAGGTACAGGTACAACACAGATACGTGAACTATACAATGACCATTTCATTGAATGATAATAATATATTAAGCATTTCATTGCTTGGAAAAAGCAAGTTTTGATTGTAAAAATTGTATCCTGTTCCACTGAAATTATACAAAGTACATTCAATACTGAAAAGTGACTCAACAGAGCAGGACCAGGGCATGGCCTGGTGTCTTAGTGTTACCTCGGGCCAGGACTGTACAAAATTAATTCAGACACTTCTCTGGGATGAGTTTTAAGAACTTAGCAATTAAATTAAGTAGTACAAAGTGTTTCGGGGAGGACACTCTTCTCTTAAAAGTATGTGAAACATGTGCTTTTGGTAGGACCAACAGCCTTCAGCAACATGCAGAGGGTGCAGCCTGGCACAGCTCTATGCGGGCTCCGAGTTGATGGGTGGCAGGTTTTGGTGCTTGAAGTACTGCACGACTTGCTGGGGCAGCTCTGCCAGCACAGCTTTGGCCAGGGTCTCCTTGGGGGCCTGCAGGTGAAAAGAAACAAACACTGGCACAAGAATGGCCATAGGGGACTGACCAAGCAAATGTGGCTGGGCTGTCCCCACCTCCAGGCCGTGGCGTTTCACTTAATACCCCCTAGAGTTTACTGGCAACCAGCATTTTATACACCTGGGATTATATTCTATACTACACCTTCCCTCCAGGAGATAATTCACTGGTAGGGAGGAATAAAACATGCTTGGTAGGTTAGAAAAAACAGGTATTGAGTAACAGCAGGTGAAATGGAAATACACTGATTAGCTGCAAAAAGAGGGAAGATAAGCACAGGCTGATTTTCTGCATCCTCTGGCAATCCTGTGCCAGCAGCAGCATCCAACCCAGGGCTGACTCCTGGCCAATCGAGATGGGCAGAGAACTGCATCTCGTTTTGTTTTGTTTTGTTTTGTTTTTCTTCTTTTTTCCCTCCTTCCTTCATCAACCTTTTTTCCAACACACAGTGGTGGGTTGGGCAGTGGGCAGCAGGAAGCCATCCTGCAGAGGGGACACATGCAGGGCCAGTGCTGGCATTACCCCTTTCTACACACACTGGGAGGGGACCGGGGGAGCTCAGGGCTCACCCCCAGGCCAGGGCAATTCAGCATTAAGTCCTCAGCACATGGCATATCATGGGTGCTGGATGACGCCTGAGCGGGAGATGCTAGCATGGGACCATGGCAAGGGACTTGAGCCCAGTGCCAACCCAGCTCACCTGACATGACCCTGCTACACTTGTTTTTTTGATGAGGGGTGACAGAGACAGGGGGATGCTCAGATGGAGCACGCTACGGAGGTGCAGAGCACTGTTGCCCCTGCCTGCCCCTGCCTGCAGTGCTGGTTCACGTGGTCCATGCCAGCATCGTCAAGGGATGTGGCGTTTAGGGTCAGGGTAAGGCAGGCAGGTGCCAGCCCTCTACCTTTTGCCTCTAGCTACCTCTAGCAGGGCTGCTCCACATCCAGGGTCATTTCCAGGCTTGAGACCCCATTTCTGCCTGTGATCCCCTGCCTGCTGCCCACACTCACATTGCGGAAATCCCGGAAGGGCACAAACTGGACAATGTCACGCACAGCCTCCTCGCCAGTGTAGGAGCGCAGCACCCGGCTGTCCCCGTCCAGGAACTCCATGGCGGCGAAGTCGGCGTTGCCCACCCCAACAATGATGATGGACATAGGCAGCTTGGACGCCTGCACCACGGCGTGTCTTGTCTCATCCATGTCGCTGATCACCCCATCCGTGATGATGAGGAGGATGAAGTATTGCTGGGGAGGGGAGGGTGGAGGGTCAGACCCAGTGGGATGCCAGGGCACCTTCACACCGCAGACAGAGCCTGTGGGGTGCGAGCGGCTGGGATGCTCCACATGTCAGGGGGAGGCAGGTCCCCTGGGGAGTTGGGAGCGCGAGGTTCACCGCTTCCCAGGACAGCTGGCATCGCTCCCCTTTAGCAGCACCCAGAAATTTCAGGTGCTCCCATTCCCCCTGTTTTTTGAAAGATAATAGCCAAACAACAAACCAACTCCCACCCCAAAATATTTTGCTGATTTGCTGTACTTAATGATGAAAGAAAAAAGCCCCCAACCTGTGCAGAGCTTGTGTGTCATGGCCAGA